ATATAGTCTACCAAATTTTATAGAAGTACAAATTCAGTTTAGTTGAGAAAGCTTAATCTTTTCAACAAATGACACTGAAACTATTGAATGTACATATGCAAAAAATGAAGCTTGATACACAGCTTACATCTTATACAAACATAACTCAAATGAATCATGGACCTAAATGTAAAATATAAAACTACAACAGTGATTTCAATTAGAGGTGCTTTTGTTTCCCAGGGACAATATATGAAGACATGTTTGATTGTCAGTACGTGGAAGAGGATTCTACTAGCATCTTTTGGGTAGAGACCAGGAATGCTCCTAAATATTCTACAATGCCCAGCACAGCCACCCCTGTAAGAACGAATGTTAATTTCTTCATTTGGATAAGTATACTATGGTTATGTATATTTCCCTTAAAGGACAGGAAACTTGGTAAAGGGTATATGGAAATTACCCTTTGTAGTCTCTTGCAACTTTTCTGTACTTCCAAAATTCTTTCTTTCTTTCTTTCTTTTTTTTTTTTTTTGAGACAGAGCCTCAAGCTATCCCCCTGGGTAGAGTGCTGTAGCATCACAGCTTACAGCAACCTCCAACTCCTGGGCTCAAGCGAGTTTCCTGCCTCAGCCTCCCACGTAGCTGGGACCACAGGCACCTGCCACAGCACCCAGCTATTTTTTGGTTGCAGCCGTCATTGTTTTGGCAGGCCCAGGCTGGATTCGAACCCGCCACCTTAAGTGTATGTGGCTGGCGCCTTAGTCACCTGAGCCACAGGCGCCGAGCCCAAAATTATTTCAAAATAAAAAAAAATTACAGCTTGTGTATCACTACAAATTACTGAAGTCAAACATTGGATAATTTCATTAATTATTTTTATGAAGACATAAAAATAGTGTAGCTGAAGTATTCTGTCTTGATTACTTCGATTAAATTTATGAAATGTGTAAATATTGCCAAGCATGTGTTATATGTTGGAAATTTGAGAATAAAATTTTTTTATAACTAATTATTTTTTATTAAATCATAACTTTGTACATTGATGCATTTATGGGGTTCAGGGTACTGCTTCGATATACAATGTGAAATGTTTACATTAAACCAAGTAACACATCCATCACAATTATACTCACTTCTTAATAGTTTTGAAATGTACCATTGCATCATGCACATTAGGTGACTCCCCACAAATACCCTCCCTTCTCCCATATCCCCATTCCCTACCCGTCTCTCTTCTCTTCCCTTCTACTTTATGGACTGTAGTTATGTTTTGCCATTTGTATGATTGTGTGGGTGGTTACATATTGATTTCATAGTAGTATCGAGTACACTGGATACTTTTTTCCCCATTCTTGGGATACTTTACTAAGAAGAATATTTTCAAATGGCTCCTTTTTGAAGGGGCTTTCCTGGTTCCTCTAACCTAAAGTGCTACCATTATTCACCAATCTTTCTGATTTCTTACAGAGCTTGTTTTCTGAAATAATTTTGTTCACTTGTTACTGTCTCCTCTCCTAAGGTATATGCTCCACAAAGGCAGGGACTTTGTTGTACCCCTAGGACAAGAACTGGGCACATTAGAGATGGATGCTTAAGTATTTAGTAAGTGAATGAATTATCTGTATTTAGGTCATATCTTCCCATTAAGTGACCCGTATTCCAAAGCTGATGTTTCTTTAAACCCCCACTTGGCTGTGAACAGATTAGTCACAACCCTGGTATCAGATAATTTACCCAGAGTGAAAGTAGCACCTGTGTATTAAGTAGAAAGAAGCACTGGGCAATCATTAATATTTTTCACGGCAAAAGACAAATCCATTATTCTTGAAAAGATAGAAAGGAAATAGATTTGTCTTTTGCTGTGAAAAATTTTGTATTTTGCTGACAGATGATCCTGGTTCTCCTGGAGGGTTTTCACCTCATCTGACATGGCTGCTCTGCAAAGTGGACTCTTTCCATTAATGATAGTGTTTAGAGCACTTCCAGAATATATTATAAAGTTTTTCTCTCCAATTAAATTTTTAGGTTAAATGTTCTCATTTGAGTTGTGTCATTTCCAATGCCCTGTCTAAGAAAATTGGTGATGAATTTTCAAATGTGGAAATTGGCAAATATATGTCTGCCTCCTCCATGGCAGCACATGGAAGGTTATTGAGAGTGACTGAGCTGAGCAGTGGAGGCCCCAGGCAGGAATGGCCAACTCCACCTGGGAGGGTATGGGAAGGCCTCAGAAAGGTGGGGCCCTTAGATTGTGTCTTGAAGAAAAAGGAATAAATTAACAAGCAAGAGTAGGGAATCCTAAATTGGAAATGTTGTCACTTGCCTTAACTTTCTTCATGTCCAATATCATATAAAATTAATTTCCTTTTAGCATAGTAATGTACAGAACCTACAGAACCTAACCTCTCCCTACATTAGCAAATTTCTGCCTTATATACTTCTTTCTTACCATTTTGCAAGTTGAGTGTGTAAAACCAACCCCAGTTTACTCCATGGGCCAAATAGTCATTTCGGATCTATCTCAAATATTTAGCTAATATTGTTGGTCTAGTTAAATAAATATATTTTTATATCTAGACACTAAAAATGGTTGGAATTGGCAATTATCAATGCACCTACCTGTGTTTTCATAGATAGGTCAGAATGAAAGCTGAGAGATGTTTGCAACAAATAAAATCTAGAAATCAAAGAAAATTTCACGGAGGTGTTGAGAATACAGTGGTGTGGAGTCTTAAATTAGTTATGTTTTATAGTTCTATCATAGCCATCTTTCAGTAAATTATATTTCAATATGGAAATGTATTTCCCAGATTATTTGAATGCAATTCCATAATAGAATGGAATAATACAATTCATCTTATTTACTACCATATGTCTAGCTCTTCCCATCAGGAGGTGAAGGGAAAAGTTCATACAATCCTTTAGGGGAAAGAAAAAAAAATTAAATAAATTACTTACATGAAAATTATATTGAAAATAAAGTATGAAGATGAACCTGGTCAAATAACAATGCATGATACAGGAAATTAAGTGCTATGGGCAACCATGGGAACAAATATTAACGATTTCTAGAGTTACCATGGAAGTCATAGCAAAGGACTTGAAATGCCTCTTGAAGTCTGAGCAAGACATGCACAGATTATGGGAGAACTTTCTAAGCAGTGAGAACATAATGAATAAAAAGGTGAAGGCTGCATGTTCACAGCACCATAAAGACTGTCTGACTTAGAGCACAAGGTATGGGCTTCTGTAAAAAATATTAATATAGTATAGAAGGGTTGACAAAATGGATCTTAAACCTGCCATCAATGAATGTATGGCCTAGTTCCTTTATACCATGGATGAACTTTAAGAAAATTATCTTAATCTTGAAGAGAGTATTTTCTTCAATATATTCCTTGAAAGCCTTTTTTTTTTACAAGCCTTTTATGTAAAACCCTCTGTAGAAAGCAGCCATTCCCCTTGCTCTATGAACCTTCTATTAATTCCATTAATCTTGTGTTCAGTTAGTGGTTTTTCTGTAAAAGTATGTACTGTAATCAAGTAAGTTTTAGAAATGCTACATTCATGTTAACCTTTTTTTAAAGCTTTATGAAGGAATTTTCAGAGCCTTTAATTTATTTATACTCATTGTGAGTCTCCAAAAGAAAATTTAACTGATCTCCAAACTTAAAATCCTTCCTCTTGTTTTTTTTATTCCTTTTTGTAGTATGAGAAAGGATGGGGGTTTCTTGAGACAAATTTGAGAAAATACTGATTTAAAGCATCTGTATCTATATTGGGGAGAGAATGCTTAGTGAGACAAGTCTCTAAATGTGGAGTAGAGATACCAAAAATATAATATCCAAGATCATTCTTAGCCCATCCACCTTGCTAGTGGCTAGGAATAAAGAAGGGCAATAGAATCAGAAGTGTGTGGATAATTTTGCACAGGCACCCGGTACACAGTACATGTTGAATAAACCTTTTTGTGTGACTTTTCTCTAAAATTCAAATCTGTCCTAATCAAATGATAAAACTCAAAATTTTAATAACTCTTTGAACGAGCATTTAAAATATGTTGCCTCTTATTTGGCAATTATCTCAGAATTTTTAACAGATATCATTAAATAACATTATAAATAGCCTTCAAGGACAGTGTCAAGTGTTTAGCTTTAGAAAGAATTTCCTCATTTATCTAGCTGATAGTTTAACAAAAGCATGAATTCATAAAGATAGGTGTACTACATTGGTGACCGTTATTTTATGGTGTAAAGAATAAACCAACTTAGAAAAGTCCATCTGAAGAAAGGAAGGGAGTTTAGCAAAGGAAGAATCATTTGTTCCTAAAAGGTGCTTGTCAGTTCCTTTTCTGGAGTTAACACTGACCACCAAACAGAAATAATTCTCCATGCAAATCTCCATTCATGGGGCAGTCCAGTCAATGCCATCCCAAGTGGCTATACAATTTTATACAGCTATCTGCATGAGTGAGGATGAAACGCCACATGGGCTGGGGAAAGTGTCACCACCACGCACTGAGGTGTCACCAGAACATCTTCCGCAAATCAAATCAAGCAAGTCAGCACTTGGATAAGCAAGACAGAGAAGAACAGGCATGAAGGAAATGCAGACCGGGAGCTGTTTAGGACTTTGGCCTTCCTACAATAGCCTTGCCATTTCCCTCTGTGAGTAAGACATGTTTATTTATTTATTTTTTTTTGAAAGGAATTAAAGGTAGAAAGTAGTATTCTTGCTCTTATACAGTTTTGGGGCCTGAGTCTCAGGTTGATTCTTGCTAATAAGGTCCTATAATAAATGGAAGATCAGTGGTAGTGTAGTATTAAGATTTCTAATCTTAAAACTTCTGTTAGGGCTCATTAAGTGAATCTGGCCACATTAATCCATAGTTCATTTATTTTATCAAAGGAGAAATAGTATCCAAAGTAAGCAATTTGTTTGTAGTACTGTATGAAAATATTTTTATATACAGATATAGTGTCAAAATTAAATATACACATTCCATTAATTAAAAGGCTGGCATATATTATTCTCTTAAAAATATACATCTCAAACTGCAAACTCATTGAGACAAGTTTTATTATACACAACTGAAAAAAAGAACTCAGAACTAAGGTTTAGTACCCTTAGACGAGGTGCATTTCTAGTTTTTGATTGTCCTGTTTTTCATTTTAGAACATTTATTAGATCATTTATTGAAGGCACTGTGTTATAGATTCACGCTCAGTTACATCTCTTGATATCGTTCGTAAGGTATATGACTCTCTTGTTCTCAGGGGCACTGTCCACAGTTGACACTCTTCATATACTATCCTGATTCCTAGTGGGCCATAAAGTTATTTTAATAATAAAACAGTGTTAATTTCGAATCCTGTGACCTTTACATGCCTCATCAGAAGGACTTGATATCTTCTCCTGAAATATTTAAACAGGTTTGGAAAGTATTATGGCAACTGATACCTTACATGAATTGTCTTACAGAAATCAGCACAGAATACCGATTGATATACATCTGCATACGTATGAAGCAGCTTATTGACTGCAGCGTCCATGGCTGTTTGCATCCATGTTCTAGTAACACAGTATGGCTTTCTGAATTGCTCTAATCCATTTTTACCAGGGTGCAGGCAGTAATTCCAGAAGACATTCTATTCCAAAAGATTGCATAAGCAGAGCGATTCTTGGAGGATACAACTAAAGTTCGTATGTTTCTATATCGCCACTCCATATTTTTCAGTGTTCTCTGGTGCCCCTCAAAATTTTATTCCAACAAGTTTTTATCTTTTGTAATAGTTCCTTTAGGAAACACAAGCCGTTCTGTCTTTTCTGTTCCTTTAAAAATTTATTTTCTTCCTGGAGAAATAGATTTCAAAGAGTTTTAACTTCGCATTTTTATGAATATTTTAAATATTTAAAATATTTTATAAAATATACATGAAAAATATTCAATCTTTAATTTCCATCATGGTATGTTATATGGAAAATTTGATGTAGTGAAGAAGGAGAATCTTGCATGATACTTTAAAAAATATGACCTATAACTATGATGGTGGTAACGGATATGGAGAAATTTCACGGTTGATACGGTTTAAGATTTAGGATTTATACAAGAGCTACTGCCGCTGGCTTCTGTATTCATACTCTACCAATAGATATAATAATACTGTTTAAACATGAATGGGAGAGATGACTGTAAGTTACTCAACTGAGTTTATTTTTAATATGGAAAAGTGTACTTTTAGTGGAAGGAATAAATAACGGGAAACCACTCAGATTATTTTAGCAAATGTAATAAGGACCTATCTGATTGAGCCTGTAACATAAAGTCTACCCCAACAATCTGAGCTTTCCCTAGAGTATGGCTGATAACTGCCTCATTAGCACCTGACAAGAATCTTAAAGAGGACTATCTGGACAATCTATAAAAAATGGAGAAGGAGATTATCTTACACGGACCAGACTTAGTAGCTCTGCAAGTCAGCTGTATTTCTGCTGACCTGGGGGAGTGCGATTAGGAAAGGTTAGGGCAATTCTTCATTTAGGTAACAATCAGTTATTAGATATTTTCTAGGCCATGTACTATGCTCCATGCTTTAAATACGCAACTTCATTTTATGTGCTTAGTAACCTTCTGAACTTGATGATTTCTCATTTCACAGATGAGGTAACTGGTCTGCAAAGAGGATAAATAAACTACTAAGGTCACATGTCAGATAAGTGTAAGTATAATGACCGAGTCTTAGACTTATGTGCCCCATGTTTAATTTACTCACAAATCAAGATCATTTTTGCTTACATATTTAATAGCACTAGTACCTAGTTTTAAACAATACATTTCCAAGATTAAACAACAAATTTCAAAGATAATTATGTGGGAAAAATTTGTGTTACTTATAGCAAGGGTTCCAGGACATTTTTTTAAAAATACAAATTAAAGGTGAACTTGACTAAGCAGATTTGAAATGTATCGATGTAAAAATTTCATAGAATTTTTAAAAAGACAAAAAAGGAATTTGGTTTTATTTCTGTAATTGGGGATACACAGGTGTTATTTCCTTTATTAAAAAATTTCTTTCTCTTCTTAAAATGCTCTCAGTCAGAAGCCTTCAATATATTTATATTGCTTTTATATCACGTGTTCATTTCATTCATTCCAAAACCTCCCATTTGGATGGAATTCCTAGGGTTTTCTGAGTCTTAGGGTGTGCAGACTCACCCTGCTTCTCTAAAAGAGATAAGGAATTTCCATGCCCCATACATAGCTTAGTCAAATAAAATAAATAACAATGAAAATATTGAAAAAAGAAGCCATCACTTTTATGGTGGGCTCATTTTTCTGTGCCCCACCTTCGTTAATACTTGCATCATTTTGAAAATTAACACGATTCAATGAAGTATTGAATCTTTTAAATTCATAAATATTTTCTACATTGCTGTATAATTTTTAAGAATATCAAATTGACGTATATAAACATATACAGTATTTATAAGCCATTATATATCACTTATGCTGTACAATCTGTACGAATAAGTATGAGATGGGTTCTCACAGTTTAAGATTTACTTCTTGACCAACTATCAAGGATGAATTTTTTTCTTATGTACTTTTTTCTAGTTTATTTTCAACTACATAAATTGTTTCTTTCTTTCCCGTATTACACATTGATGTATTAATGTTGTTTCTTTTTAAGAAAAGAACACTCTGATATTTACCCTAAGCACTTCTATTTTAAAATAGTGGTTTCTGAAAAATGCAGTTTAAAGGGATCCAAATCTTTAAGAACTACAGGCCTTTTCCTTTTGTTAGCACTGTCATGAATATTTTCAAAACTAACCATGAAAAAAGACAGAACGTAAAGAGAAACATTACGGAATGAAGCTGAATGAAAAGCTGGTGAACCGTACAGGGAACTATGGTTACTCTTACCAGATTCTTCGTGGGTTGGGCTTCACCCAGGGGAGGTGATTTTCTTCCTTTAACCTTAAAAACAAAGTCACATGGATAATATTGAATATTGCCCTTTATCGTTTCTCTCCTTGTTGGTAATTGCTAATTTTCATATTACTTTCAGCTCATCTAATCTATTTGAGAACCTACATTAAATTTCTTATCGTTAAGATGCTAGAACACTTGCGTTTGTAAACAGACTGTCAGGAGAAGGAAGAAGTAAAGAAGCTTAATCTTCCAAATACCTCGGATCCACAATTCTCTAGGTGTGCCTACCACTATTGATTGCTGCAAGATATAAAAAAATTAACATAGAAGGGTATATTAACAGAGAAAAAATTTTGAATTTCAATCAACATGAAACTAACGTTGTCCTTAAATCGGCAATTCTGCCATAGATTTTATCAAGCTTCCCTCAGCAGGAGCAAAATGTAATAAAACAACAGGGGAAAGTTCACAGCGTGTCTGGCTCACGAAGAAAACTCAGTGTAGCTATCTTTAACATCTTGCCGTAATCATTTCAAGAAAAGGAAAACTATATTGTTAATTAATGCCATACTTTAATTTGATGTCAAGATTTCATTTACTCATGTATTTCCCTTCTCTCTAGTTAGTTGATTTTAGATCATGGTGATCCACGCAAAGCTTAACACAGAAGAGAAGGAATTTCAAATAAAAGCCTATCTATGACCTTTACCCCTTTCTAGGCCAAGAGGTGGTATCAATTGTCTGTTCTACACTCTTTTCAGTTGAGCCCGGACGCGAGGCTTCTAATCAACAAAGTATTTCCAAGCAGTGGCTGGATGAATGGCAAGCAGAATGAACCGTAGCTGCCATTCTTGCATTAGAGCCGGGATTTTCAACCGGTGTGGCACAGCACACTGGGGTGCCGGGAGAGGATCTCAGATGTGCTCCGAAAAATGTTAAAGACCATTAATTTTTGAAAGGAGTTCAAAGCACAGTAAGTATATTCTTTTTTATACTCTTTTTTTTTTTCTTGATCAACATAATTGAAGTGTGCTGTGGAAGTTTCACTACAGATTCAAGTGCTCCAGGAGATACAAAAGGTTGGAAAAGACTGCCTTAGGCAGAGCTTTGAAATCACTGCAATTAGGAATCATAGCTGGTAGACTAGAGTATAAAGTCTTCGTGAATCTTGAGCTGAGTCTTTTGAAGGATGCCCAAAGCAAGATAGATCAGGTTAATTGAGAAGAAAAAGAAGTAAATTCTCTTTAGGGGACAGATATTATGTAAGGGCCCCAAACTGGAAAAAAGCTTGGCAAACCCAGCCTACCAAGAGGAGACTGGCTCCCTTCAAATATACAAAGCAATGATAAACGAGATTGTCTAAGTTATAACCTCTATTTTCATCACTGTCAATAGGGTTCAAAGATTATCTTACTATTTTACCTTCTATGAGAAACTACTGGTACTCAAAAAAAAATTATTTTTTATTTCCCCCAAATGTTCTTTTAAACTATTTTAGAAACATAAGAAACCTTTTGACTTAGTATGGAAGCTGGTAAAATCCCTGAAGAGGGGAATAATCATAATAACAATAATAAAATATCACATTAAATATTGAAAACTTTTTAGTGCTAAGTACTTTACATGAATTATGCCATTTAATCCTTTCAATATCCTACAATATAGGTGTTATAATTTTTTTGCATTTTGCAAATGAGGAAACTGCTGGGTAGTCTCAAGATAATATCTTCCAAATTTTGTTTTGTTTTTAGTGCCTAACTGCTAGTAAAAAACAAAAAATAGCCCTACTAATATCAAAATTATTAAAGCAAAATTGTATTGTACATATACATCTCAACATTTACCGTGTAAAGATATCTGTTAAACATATTACATTTCCTGTTTCAGTGACCAGCAGTTCTTATAAACATATACATATATAGATTAAGCCTATTCATTAGTTATAGAGATAAAAATTTACCATTCCTCACCAATATATCACCCTAGCTTCCCTGGAAAATATTATGGCAATGAAGAATTCATTCACTTATTTTTTTACTCCCCATTTGCAAACTATTAATTCACTCTAGTCAAAAAATGAATGTTTTCCAAGTTGAGACTTTCCTCTTCTAGAGCTGAGGAACTGTATCTCAATTTTTTAGTGATAATAAACGCTTAGAATTCTATGATAGCAGATAAGATCTTAGTACAGGAGTAGTTTATATTTTAAAGGAAACATTCCTTAGCTTACCTTGTTGGTGCAGTTCAACAGTTTTAATATGCCTTGTGAAACTATTGATAAGTGGTGATCGAAATTGTCAGTGTTATTCATTTTACGAAATTGCTTCAACTTGCGAGCAGCACGATACAGAAAGGTACCTTCCTATTACAGAAAAAAGTCAGATGGGCTGTGGTTCAAATAAAATATTAAGAAATGATAAGACTTAAAGGATTCTAAAGCCAGAGCTGTATTGCCAAGTAACGCCCCACCTCTCCCAGCTCTCTATTCCGGTTAATCTCTAATCACGTGAGTGACAAGTAACAGGACTAAAACTGTTGAGCTCTTACGTGACAGCATGGAGTGCCTTGAAGTTGGTTTAATGATTATCTGACTCTTAAAGTCTTATCTATATTATGGATATGTGATCTTATCTTTTATGGGTGAATATATTACAAGATCATTTTATTTTAAACACGATGAACGAAGGAGGAGGAGAAGGCTTCTGGGAACAACAATGATGAAAGTTTTTCTACATGATTTTCTTTAATGTTTATATCTTGCACCATTAGAGCTATGGCTGAATATCTAGCAATCAGAAAATTAAGGGCTATCATAATCACCTAAAACATATGTTTTTTTCCAGATATTTAAAGTAAGAAATTACGAAAAAAGAATTTATGAATATAATTTGAGATGCCATGAGGTGAACTCAGCTACTGCTGAGTTTTAAAAAGACTATCAAATAGCACTCTAGTTTCTGTAGGAAGAGATGACACAAAATCTTGGAGGTTCT